CCCCCCCCCCCCCCCCAAGGAGGAGCAGCCTTGCTAGGCCACAGATAAGGACGTTGCAACCATCCTGAAGATACCTGATAAGCTAGGGCCAGACGGAAGGAGAGGAGGACACCCCCTCTCAGTGGACTCAGAAGGGAGCAGGGAGGAGATGAGGGAAGGAGGGGAGGATTGGGAGTGAAAGAGGGAGAGGGCTACAGCTGGGATACAAGTGAATGTATAAAATTATTTTTAAAAAAATGGTGTCTTTGGACACCTTCCACCACCAGAGGGCGCCATGACACCTAAAAAGCTTTTGGAAATTTAAGGAAGAAAGCAAACAAAAGAACCCTATCTCTCCCCACTCACCAGAGATCTCCACATCGCCCCCCAGCAGCCAGGTGATTTGTGGAGGGGGCTTGCTTCTCTCCGTGGAACATTTCAGCACGACGTGTTTTTCTCCATTCTGCCTTCTGAGAACCTGAGCTTCCACAGTTGGCTGGAAAGGAGTCACTAGAAGACAATTTTTTTTCTGTGCTTAGTTATAGCTGTGCATGTAGAGATCAGAGGCAGATTTCAGGCAGACTCTTTGATCACTGTCCCTGGATCTGGAGCCTGTGGATGCAGCTAGGCTGGCTGGCCACTGAGGTGCATGGAGGCACCTGTCTCTTCATCCGTGCTGGGGTTAAAGATGCTGTGCCCAGCTCTTGTGTGGGTAGTGGGCTGGGCATCCCAACTCCGTTTGTCATGACAAGCACTTTTCTGAACAAGGCAGCGCCCCACCCCCTCTGGTCTGTGTATGCTGGTAAAGCACATCTTAGGGTTCGCTATAGGTTAATTATTTACAGTTATTTAGTCACAGGGCGTATTTCTTGCTTAACCTTCCCCAGAATCCAATCGTGCTATGCTTTCAAAGAGCCAAGCTGGCTGAAGTTAGGATGTTTGCTACTGAGTATGTGACTAGTTCTTGAGAGCTCCTAACAGTAGTCTGAATGTGACGGAGCACTATGTTTGGTTGCTAGCTGAGGAGAGACCTGATTCCTAGTCCCATGTCTGCCACCAGCTACCTGTAGGAACTTCAACAGTTCCTCCAGCTTTTTGGTACGTCAGCTGTAACACACAGAAGTTGGTGTTTTAGCTCTAAGCTTTCGTAAGTCTAGGCGAATAAGGGCAAAGTTAATGTCTTATGCCCCTTCCTCCCATCAAAAGAGCACTTCTGTTCTCAAGCACTCACTGGTCTTCTCTCTTTGTGCTTCTGCCCTGACAATCATTTTTTGCTGAGTCTACTTCTTTCTTTTTTCAATTCTACGTTTGCTTTCACGGAGAACTGCACTTGTATGCATTTCCTGAATTCATCTAGACACAGGGAAAGCACTGAGTGAGTCCGGGCAGGCTCTGGATGTATTACTTGTTGGCACCAAGAAGATGGAAGAGAGAGACCCTTCAAGGAACTAATATTCTGGCTCTGGACTTAAGTCCTATGCTTTTAGTTAGAACAACAGTTCTTAACCTGTGGGTCACAACCCTATGTGGGTGAATGATCCTTTCACAGGGGTCCCCTAAAACCACCAGAAAACACGGATATATACATTATGATTCAAAACAGTAACAAAATTACAATTGCGAAGTGCCAATGAAAATAGGTTAGTGGGGGGGGGGTCACCACAACATGGACTGTTGTAGTAAAGGGTTGCAGCGTCGTTCAGGAAGGCTGAGGCCCACTGACTTAGAAGAGCATGCTTTGGTGCTCAGAGTGGTGGCCCAGTGGTAGAACGCGTGCCCACCATGCTCAAGGCTCTCAGTTCAATCCTTAGTAGCATCAAAAGAAACGCAAAACTGACCCTGGGCTCAGGGCTATGCGAGGGGAGTTTGTACCGTGTCATGGCAGTCCAGACGCCATCGTAACCAGCCAAGGTGGCTGAGGATGTCGCTCAGTCATAGAAATAGACAGTGGGCAAACTCCTTTAGGGCAGAGATCATGCCACCGTCTTTGATTCCCTACAGTCTCGTATGGTGCCTGGCACATAAACACAGCCTATAAAGTAGGAATCTTACTTCTGTTTAGTTTCCTGAAAAGGAAATTTAGTTGAGGTCCGAGGCAAATGTATCAATTTACGTTTGAATCTAGAGCTTGCCATACAAAGTGGTCTCTTTAGTTTTCTTTCAATAAGAGATTGGCAGGTGTGCCCTTAGAAGCTCCTTGTTACAGGTCAAACTTCAGAACGGTACGTGGAGGGGCTGGAGGGAAGGCTCAGCGGATAAGAGAGAGTATTGCCCTTGCACGGGACCTGCGGTAGGTTCATAGCACCCATGTTGGGTGGCTCACAATCACCTGTCAGCTCCAGGGGATCTGACAGTGCCTTCTGGCTTGTTTGGGCACCCACACTTTTACTCTCACACAGACATGGACACATAATTAAAAATAAAATTAATCTTACCAATGACTCGTTGTGATTTTAAAGTGGGCTGAGGGAGGTGGCTCAGCAGAGAGAAATTCATGCTACCAAGCCAAACAACCTGAGTTCAGCCTTCAAGATCTCTACAGTGGGAGCAAAGAACGGATTCCTGCAAGCTATCCTCCAGCTTCTCTGTGAGCCCATGGCAATGCTTATTAATATATATATATATTATATATATATATAATATATATATATAATATATATATTATATATATATATAATATATATATTAAAGAAAGAAATGAAAATGGTGCATTTTGTGGCTACTTTGCCACACCCATGGGGAGTTATTTTGCTGGCAGCTTACCTAACACAGTCACTCTCACTTGCTTCGCCCTCACGACACTTCCATACTGTAAACATTTATACATGCCTTCATCTTGTAGAGTCACGTTGGACACACTGATGGAGAGCTGTGTAGCCGAACGGTGAAGAAGCTGGTATTTGGAACCCTTTAAAGCTGTACAAGAGACAAAAGAAGCAGTTTTGAGGAAAGCTTGCTCACAGGAGTACCTGCCTCTGCTCCCCCAGGGCCAGGATTAAAGGGATGAGCTACCACACCTGGCTCCTGTGGCTTTAATGAGCGCCCAGCTGTGATTTGCTTCTTTGAAACCCGATAGATGTGTGGTTTGCCTTGTCACAACAAATGTCAGCAATGGAAGAGAGATACACCAGCTGAGTGTCTTCAATTTTTAATTAAAAAAAATGTTTATTACTATTTGAAGATTTCTGTGGATTTTGACTCGCTCCTTGCAGGGATTTAGCCAATAGCAAAAAAAAAAAAAAAAAAAAGCAAGCTCAGAAAGTCTTAACCCAACATGGAGAGTTCTTCTTCATCTTATTTTACACACTGACTTGGGACTTTTGTGTAAGGTCAAAGATTCCCGGGCAAAGCAGGGGCTCTGGAAAGAGCGAGTTTGTTGATTCACTTTTACCCCGTTAAAGGTGCAAATGTGCACACGTGTGAACAGAGTCAAGCCTTGGACGACTGCCCCGGGGCATATTTCTCATCCAAAAGGACGGCTGTGCCTCTTGAGATCTGACGCCTCCTGAGGAGCACTCCGAGTTTTCTCTGCTGGCATTGGAGCCAAGAGCTCGCTGTTGTACTGCGCTGCTGCAGCTTGAGATGGGGTGCTTAGCACATGCCTGGTCTCAACTTCCAAATTCCAGAGCGGCATCTCCACTCCCTACTTGTAACAACCCCAAGAATTCTTGGACAAATGCCAGCCAGAGGGCAAGATGAGTCCATCTGGAGAACCTTCTATGTGAACCTTCTAAGGGGTTTAGCTGCAGAAACCTCAGAAGGTCTTCTCATTTGGACAACCCCTCTTCCAAAGAGAAACAACATAACAAGAACAACAAAAAAACTTTTTATCAGAACTATTCCTACTTACTTATTTCTCTACAACTTTTCTCAACTTGTATCTTCTTAGTCCATTGGACTCTGCTATTACAGTAGGTAACACAGCGATCTGTTTGGCTAGTTTGTACTTACAATTAAACAGTGTTGACAAAGCATATCTATTTTTTAGCCACTCTGTTTGTGAACATAAATGAAACTTGCCGGTTCTGATTTTCTCAAGTACTTGACACAGAGATATCACATGGTCTCATTATGAAAAGTCTTCGGTAAGTTCCTGTCCGTGGTCCGCATGATGTGTCGTTTGTCCCTTTCTTTCTATCTCAAGCATGCAGCAAGCATATCATATGTGACATGGAGAAATGCATGACCAGCCTCCTGACTAAAGTGCATCCTGCCAATTTCCATGGCCTAGAAATCTTGGTCTGAAGTCCAACAGGGAAAGTCAAGGTGCTCGGTAATGTGACTTTGCAGTTGGATCTAGGCAGGAGACGGTAAGTCAGCCCCACAGGAAGGTCCAGGAAGGCAGCACGTATGGCTTTGCTGTGGGTGTTTCCTGGTCACTGAGAGTCAAAAAGTGATGTGGGGGTGAGCTGCCTGCGTGGAAAGGTGCTTTGTAATCTGAGCCCCCTTTAACAACCTTTCTGATGGGCTTTCCATTTCACACTTCCTGCTTCCTGTCTCCCCCAAAGCAGCTGTGGGTCACACAACAGGCTTCCGAGGTGTGAGCCACGTGGAACAGTGGGTGGCCTGAGCCCACCCTTTGGGTGACTCATGTGGGCCTTCTGTCCCACTAACCTGCCGCAGTTGGAAATCCCTTAAGTTGAGGTTTGTTGTTTTCTTTCTCCCCACCACCCCACTTACCAGGATGCTGATTTAAAAAAATGGTGAACCCTGAGGGTGCCAGCCACTGGAGAGAGGCGTTTTTTGTCAGAGAAGTAACACAGTTTAAGGTGAATGTCTGGCCTTCCTCCACCGTGATGGCTTCCATGTTCGTAAAGGCTGCTGTGGAGGGAGAGAGCGGGGAAGGTCAGTCAGGGCGCATGCGTGCATGAGGTGTGGCGGTCAGAAGACGACCCCAGACACTCAGGTCTGTCCTTCCGCCCAGTGAGGCCCATGATTGAACTCGATTTGTCAAACCCGGCAGCAAAAGCAGTCACCTGGCCCCAAAGAAGGGATCTGTTGCTTAGTTTACAGATGGGTGACTTCATCAAGCTCAGGGGTCACAGAGGTCATGGGACTGGAATCGGGGTGTAGGCTTCCATATCTCTGTTAACTACATAGACCTATCGGAGTGATAAACCCCAGGACACAGAACCCGTGGCCTCAGTTTATAAAATGATTGACTTACAAGTTAAAGTTCAAGCTTCGTTGCTTGCCTATGAGCTTGTGGGGGAAAATGGGCAGTTCCTGGTGCTGCTCAGCAGTAAAGTGCTTTCTAGCAACGGAGAAGGCCTGGGTTGTACCCCCATCACACAGACACACATAGACAGCTGGACACAGACACAGACACAGGCATAGACACACACGCAGACACTGACAGGCAAACACACACACACACACACACACACACACACACACACACACACATTCCATGATGCTCCTGTTGGTCACGGGGAGTAGATAAACCCACCCCAGCTAGCTTCTACCACACAGGGATTTATCTAGCAAATACACGAGTCTAATTTCCCCAAATCACAATGCCCCAGAGAATGATGAAGAACCAACTCTAAGCAGTGGCAAATGTATTGTCCCAGGAAGAAAATAAAAGAAGAGTAAGCTTGTTTTTACTGAATTGGTGCATTTTATCATCGTTCGTTACTGCTTCACATTTTAGAAGAAATTGTTTTTCCTCAGTATAATATAATTCTTACCTAGGAGGTTGTAAAAACTATCCAACCAGAAGAACACTATACATATAAATTATGAACAGCAAATGTTTTACAGCCCTATCATCATCCAAAAAGAAGAGGAGAAGGAGGAGGAGAAGGGGGAGGTGGAGAAAAAGGAGGAGGAGAAAACAGGAAGGAAGTTTATTTCCTTGTGATTCATTGTGAAAAAGAACCTTTTTTTTTTTTTTTGAGACAATGTCTCATGCAGCCCAAACTGGCCTTGAGCTCCCTGCGTAGCCCATGCTGGCAGTGAGCTCCTGATCCTCCCTTCTCCCTCAGCTTCCAGAGTGCTCCCGTTACAGATAGGAGCCAGCATGCCCAGCGTCCCTGAGACAGAAATTAAGTGCCAGGGAAAACACTTTGGAGAGTGCTGTACAGTACAGCCTTCCCTGCGCCATTAATTCCCAGGGTTTTTGTGTTGTATTCACACTCACTTTCATGGGAAAACAATTCAGTTCCAATCGACAGACATCGATGCCCTCAGCCGATGCGGACAGATTATGAAGCTGGAGAGATGGTGTAGCCGGTATAGTGCTTGCCATGCAATCCTGAGGGGTCTGAGCCTGGACCCCAGCACCCGCTAAAATACATACAACAAATGCAGAGTCCTCATCCGCAGTCGCAGTGCTGGGGCAGGAAAGTGGAGACAGGAGGAACCCTGGCGCTTGCTGGAGAGCCAGTCTAGCAGAATAGAGGAGCTCCAGGTTCAAAGAGAGATCCCGTCTCAAAGAAAGAAGGTGGAGACTGATGTTGAATACACTCCGCGTGCATCTCTGACTTCCACATCCATGCACACACCCTCACACACGTACATGAACACACATACTTAAATACGTGGGAAGAGAGAGAGAGAGAGACTCATTTGTGGAGCTGGAGCTGCAGCTCCGCTGGTAGAATGTGTACCTAGCATGCCACAGACCTTGGCTTCAGTTACTAAGTAACTAATTAATCAGGGCATCTGTGTTTTCAAAAACAGAAAATGAGGCCTGTAGCCAGAATTCTGCTTGGGTGTCCTCATGGGAAAGAATCTCATGGGCATGAATTGCATAAAGTCAGCAGAGCGTGATGAGCAGCACCACTCCCTGCTTGGGGCTTTGCTCTGCTTATGTCAGCCCTGTGTTTGATCCTGCTGCAGGAAATTGTTGTAGGAAGGAAGACTAGCCCACTGTGAAGCCGCAGGCCCACCCAGCTTTGCTTTAGCCGTCACACTTAAAATATTATTCGGGATGCCTAGGCCCGCCGAAGGGAGCAAGAGGAAGATGCTGTGCCCAGTCTCTAGAGGGAGAAGCCTGCCAGGACAAAGATACGCGTAGTTCTCGTAGTGCAGGCGGAAGCTAACGGGGAAGTTCCGCCGTCTTTTCACTTTTCTTTCACCTGTCATTGGAGCCAAACTTTCACCTGCTGACAGAGCAACGAGGTGTGGGGGTTTTGTTTCGTCTTGCCACTTCCTCTCCACAGAAGCTAAAGTTGTACTGACGTTCTCACTTGCCCTTGACTTTTCTCGTGCCCCGAGTGCCATGTGCTCCCTTCCTGCTTCTCTCTGTTTAGGTGTGTGTAGGGGGTGCTCCTGCCGGTGTCCAGACAGGGAAGCCAACCCATGAAGGGATGAGAATGAACACTCAGTTCAGTCCTCCATGGAGCTCGACAATGAACGACTGTAAGGTCTCACCGCCCTGTACTTGACCGAGTGGATTACTGGCTTCTGGGTTTGGTGTTCACGGTGACCAGATGCACGCAGCCACTAATGGCCATCCAAGTGTTATGAGGCCTCCGTTGGAGCCCATTTCTTACTGACTGTGCAGTTAGATTTCACCATTGTGTGAATGCCACACAGTATACTTATTCTACAGTGCTGGGGGTGACCCCATGGTCCTGACATTTTTTTTCTTGTCCTTTATTTAAAAAACCAAAAAACAAAACAACACTACATTTATCGCTGTATCTATCTATCTATCTATCTATCTATCTATCTATCTATCTATCTATGTGTGTATGTGTGTATGTTTATGTAAGGATGTGGGTGAGTACACCATAGGGCACGTGTGGAGGGCAGAGGTCAACTCTTGCTTCTCTCCTTTCACCATGTGGCTCCTTGGGATCCAATGGAGGTCAGAAGCCTGGCAGCAAGTGCCTTAACCCACTGAGTTATCCCCCAGGACCCCCTTTTCCCCTTTTCATCCTATGTACTTTGTATTTACACAAACTTGGAGACTGTGTGGTAATCTCATGAGGCCAAAATGTATGATGTATGCTGTTGACCAAGCCAGTAACATATGGTTCAAGGCTGTATAGAAATGGAACCTGGACTGCTCGTCATCTCTTTCCTCACATGGTTAAACTAATGGTCCTGGACTTGTGAGATGGCTCAGCGGGTAAGAGCATACACTCTGCAAGCATGAGGACCTGAGTTCAAATCCCTAGCACTCACATAGCTAAAAAAGCCAGGCATGTCTGTGTGGTCTGTATGTGCTTGTAACCCAAGTTTGGGGTGTGGGGGATGGAAGCATCAGAGACAGGCAGATTCCTGGAGGCAGCTGACAGCCTGTCTGACTGAAACAGTGGGATTCAGGTTTAATGGAGACCTTGTCTCAAGGGCATGAGGGAGAAAACAAGAGAGGAGGGCATCAGTTTCTCTCCTGACCTCTGTAATGCACCAACATACACAAGTGTACACACACACACACACACACACACACACACACACACACACACCATGCACTAAAATAAATAAATAAACTGTTCCTTTCAGTGGATGGCTTGTCACTAAAGTATGTGTTACCAACTTTCAAGCAAAGGCAAGTGGCAGTCAGACCCACCTCCTGAAGCAACACAGGTTAAGCCAATGTCTTCTTCAGAATTCTTGGTTTTAGCTGGGCACAGTGGCACAAGCATGTAATCCAACAACTCGGGGAGCCAGAGGCAGGTGATCTTTCTGAGTTCGAGGCCAGCCTGGTCTATAAAGTGAGTCCAGGACAGCCAGGGCTACACAGAGAAACCCTGTCTCAAAAAAAACCAATAGATATATGGATAGGTGATAGATGATAGATCGATAATAGATGATATATGATAGATAGATAGATAGATAGATAGATAGATGATAGATAGATACATAGATAGATGATAGATAGATAGGTGATAGATAGGTGATAGATGATAGATAACAGCTAGCTAGCTAGATAGATGATAGATGATATATAGATGATAGATGATAGATAGATGACAGATAGATAGACACATTCATCCCTGGGTTTGGAGACATGGCAGGATCCAATGATCTTGTTGGCTTCTGGAGGTAGCAGGCATGCATACAGGTGCCCAGGCGCACATGCAGACAAGACATTCACACTCTTAAAATAAGATATTTGTTGATTTCACTGGCAAAAAGGACAAATGTAAATCTTCAGAGATAAATATTTCAACAGAACTCTAATTTTTTTTCTGTAATTATGACATCAAATAATAGAGACTTGAACTGACTTAAAGCTTAAAACATTGTGAGTGACTTCTCAGGCTGGAGGCCTGTTTCCATGGCTTTTGTGGAGAGTTAGGCAGAAATGTACTTCAGTGAAGATCATTTCAAAAAGAGATTTGTGTGTTATTTTTAGATAGAATAGGCAGAGAAAAGTATGTGAAAATAGTTGTAAAAATAAATTATACTTGTCAAAGCCAAATCATTTTCCAGATTGTCACAAAGAGGCCGACTTGATGCAAGAGAACAAGAGAATTCTTCAGTTTGCAGAGGTCCTTCCTTCCTGCAGCTAGAAAAGGGGGTTGAAAATTTTGCTGGGTTTAACCTTTTCATCGTCCACAATGTGAGTGAAAGAAGAATGAATTTTGGAAAGAAAAAAAGAACAGACTCATTCTTCTTATATTTTATGCACCCCAGAGATTACTCATTGCAGGAGCCTTGAGGGGCATGGTCCAAGATCATGGAATTTTTTTGTCTGCAAATCTCTGGCAGCCTCAGAAGCCACCACCACGATTTTCCTGCTGCCTAATTTGCTAAAGGCGGCTGACAATTTACAGCTGTGGCAAAGTGGATGCTTTGCTGCCTCCGTGTCGACAAGAAAGCAACATGAGCAGCTTTTGCCCGCATGGGACTCTGAGGGGACGGAGCAGGCTTAGGTCAGTGTGAGCAACAGCTGTTCAAATCCTGATGAGCTCCATTCAGTTTGGGTTCTTCCAATATTGAATCTTTCAGAATGTCTAAGTCAGTTCAACTCTCAGATTTTCATCCACGTTAAGATATAATCAAGGTGCAATCAAGTGGACTTGTCTTAAGCTTATCTTTCTATTGCCTCATTTTCTGAGACAGTCTTGCTATGTTGTATGGTATTTACTGATACCCACTGTGTAGCCTAGACTGATTTTGAACTCATGGTGATACTCCTGCCCCAAATGGTAACGCGACAGATGTACACTGTCAGGCTCAGATTAGGGTCATCTTAAGATATGATGCTTTTGTTTTTGCTGTTTATTTGAAAATGTATTTTTTTCTTTCTTTTTTTTAATGTAGGAAAAGTTTAAAGCCTAGAAAAATTAAGGTCAGTTGAAGGCTTAAAACCTTGGAGTAATTGAAATCTACTAATTTTGGCTGTGTAAATGTACCCTTTCAAAATGCATTAGCTGTTCTTCAAGCCACTTACTGAAGAAACTAATGTCACTCATTAGCAAAATAGAACCCTTGTTAAATGCCTCAGGGTACAGGGAATGGAAAGGAAGGCACTGATTGAAGTATAGAGATCAGGGAATTGATAAAACTATGTAAAATAAAAAATCCTGATGCCTCCCCCCACCCCCAAATAGTGTCCTTCAGTTGCCATTCTGAAATGAGTACAAATGAGAGGGATAGGAGCATTTCCAGACGCAGACCAGGAGAGTCACTATTTGGATGGAAACAAGTATGTGAGGCTGAGCAGCAGCTCTGTCCGTGGTCCCTTCTTAAACAGCAGACACAAGGGCCATCAGAGACCTGGGACACCAGGGGATGAGCCTTCACCCTTTCTTCCACACTCTGGTAGGAATAATTTGACCTAAGCTTAAAAGGTCATTGTATCTTTCTCTAATTCCCTTAATGCTACAGTAGAACCAAACTTCAAAACCAAATT